AGCAAATAGAGAATTACCATCAACAAAATGTAATATTTGGAGGAGATTGTAATTGCTGTATGGATTTAAAGAAGGATAAAACTACGATAGCATCAAAAGTTAGAAATATTGAAACAACGGAATTAAGTAGAGTAATGAATAAATGGCAATTAAAGGACGTATGGAGATTGGTAAAAGGGAATGAAAGCAGATATACATACTACTCATCGGTACATAAGGTGTATACAGGAATTGATTATATTTTTGTCTCCAAAAATATGATAAGTACTGAAATTTTGAAATATATTTTGTGCTGGTATAGCTTTTTCATTGATTTTTAATGTGCTTATGACAATAAAATGGAGAAGGTGGAGTTAAATACGAATTACCTATCACAAGAAATAGTAGATAAGTGCAAGCATAATGCACGAGTTTTGGGGGAGTGAAAGGTTGGAGCAGAGGATTCTTGATCTTGAGAACAGTTAGCCTGAGGGTTATGCGTAAAGGTACCTTAGACTATAAAGAGCACAAAAGGAAATTTAAAGATAAGAGATTGGGAAGGATATTATTATAGATGTAGATCTACATTATGCTAGCTGCTGGTTTTACGTCTTATTTTTATGAGTTATTTCGTTTTGTAAGTCGATCTCCATCCGAATGAAATATTATCTAAATCTATTTTTTATGCTATGAAGTTATAGTTTTTGATTGTTGTATTCTCCCTAATAGAATTGGTTATGTTCGGATAATCTTCTGAACTACTATCTTAATATTTATTATTAAGTGGCCCCGCTTGTCTCGATATTATGTCTTAGGAATTTACCCATCGTGGGAGATGTAGATAATCCCTATCTGGAGATCATTTAATATTATACCTATACCTTACCTACACACCTCTTCCTCGTTCATTAATTTCTATTTCCCTTAGCTAGAATAATAATTTGTTCTTACAGACGAGCGGTGCTAAGCGTTCTTTAGAGTATCATTGGTCTATGGCTTTTCAGAGATTTGTCGTGGTGGTTGCTGGTTGGACTTCATGATCGTTGCTTTATCGCTCGGTAATATGTGTGACTGATAAGTACTGCCAGACAGGTCCCTTTGCCCCTTTATTACTGGTACTGTTTCTATCAGAGTGACTCTATTGAAACGATTTAGTGTCTCATGTTATTTGTTGAGAGCGCTTTGAGTATTTAACAACGCTACATTTTGGATCAAATGATGCTCTTATTTCAGAGACGTATAGAACTCGGAGCCCCGGCGAGGTCGAATGCATTCTAGTATATTAGGTATATCGACCCCATGGGGGTCCTTACTGTGTGAAATCTTTAGATAAATTTGATGAATGGGTTGGTTTTAAGAATTTTCCGTTTCTTGTTGAACCTCCCCCCCTTGCCCTTTCCTTTCTCCTCCTTCCCCCTCACCCTCTCCCTCCCTCCCTCCCCGTATACAATTAGAACAATGGTTGATAAACTGGAAAAAAATAATAGAAGTTGAAGCCAACTCAATCAATTCGAACAAATAATACAGAAGGGAAGGACTGTAGAAGAACACGAAAACTTGAGAGGTATAATTAGCAAAATTTATAAGATATTTAATTGAAATGAAAGATGAAAAAACAAAAAAGTGCACCCTTAAAGAGATTTGGGAAGAAGATTTAGGGATAAAAATAAGCGAAATAGAGTGGCAACAATTATGGGGACAAAGACATTTAAAAAATTTATCGATACGAGTTAAAGAAAACTATTACAAGTTAATATGGAAGTGGTACTTAACACCGGTAAGAATAGCATATATGAATAAAAATAACTCAGTAAATTGTTGGAGAGGGTGTCAAGAACCAGGAACATATATACACATGTGGTGGCAATGTAAATATGTAAATAATTTTTGGGAGAAAGTATTTAGAGAAATAGAAACTATAATGAATATAAAATTAGATAAAAGTCCTAGTATAGCATTACTATCACTATATAACGATAAGCAATTGAAAAAGGAGGATAAAGAAGCGATAACAAACTTACTAACTATAGCAAGACTGCTTATAGCAAGGAATTGGAAAAAAGAAATGAATATACAAATAGAGGAGTGGTATAAAGAAGCATGGAAAAAAGCAATAAACGATAAATTGACATGTATATTAAAGGTTAAAAGGTATATGGAAACAAAGCGATTTTGATGCTGTATGGGGAAGATTTGTGGTAAATGGATTAAAAAATAAGGAAGGAAAATTACCGTCACAAGAAGAAATGAAATTTTGGACAGATGAAATGTAAGAAGGTGGCTTGAAATGGGTGGAGGGGAGCACTGTGGTGAAAAAGGGGGGAAAAAAATGAGAAAAAGGGGGAGAAATGTCAGAGTAAAATAATAAAATAACATGTTAAAGAGGTTGATGTACAAAATGTAATAGTATGTAATAAAGTGATAATCAATAAAAAAAAATCTTAAAAGATGATGCTGTCAAGGTGATGCATGCCATTTGCCAGCAAATATGGAAAACAAGAATGGCCATCAGACTGGAAAAAATCAACTTATATCCCCATACCAAAAAAGGGAAATGCGAAAGACTGCTCAAACTTCCGTACAGTGGCCCTTATTTCTCATGCCAGTAAGGTAATGCTCAAGATCCTTCAAGGAAGAATCCAGCAATACATGGAGCGAGAGTTGCCAGATGTTCAAGCTGGGTTCAGAAAAGGCAGAGGAACGAGAGACCAGATTGCCAATATCCGCTGGATAATGGAGAAAGGCAGAGTTTCAGAAAAACATCTATTTCTGCTTCATTGACTATTCTAAAGCCTTTGACTGTGTGGATCATAATAAATTGTGGCAAGTTCTTGGTGGGATGGGCATACCAAGCCACCTTGTCTCTCTCCTGAGGAATCTGTACAAGGACCAAGTAGCAACAGTAAGAACTGACCACGGAACAACAGACTGGTTCAAGATTGGGAAAGGCGTACGGCAAGGCTGCATACTCTCGCCCAACCTTTTTAACTTGTATGCAGAACACATCATGCGATGTGCGGGGCTTGATGAATGCAAAGCTGGGGTAAAAATTGCTGGAAGAAACATTAACAACCTCAGATATGCAGATGACACCACTCTGATGGCCGAAAGCGAGGAGGAGCTGAGGAGCCTTCTAATCAAGGTGAAAGAAGAAAGCGCAAAAGCCGGGTTGCAGCTAAACGTCAAAAAAACCAAGATTATGGCAACAAGAATGATTGACAACTGGAAAATAGAAGGAGAAACCGTGGAGGCCGTGACAGAATTTGTATTTCTAGGGGCAAAGATTACTGCAGATGCAGACTGTAGCCAGGAAATCAGAAGACGCTTACTTCTTGGGAGGAGAGCAATGTCCAGTCTCGATAAAATAGTGAAGAGTAGAGACATCAGACTGGCAACAAAGGTCCGCCTAGTCAAAGCCATGGTATTCCCTGTAGTCACCTACGGATGTGAGAGCTGGACCTTAGGGAAGGCTGAGCGAAGGAAGATAGATGCTTTTGAACTGTGGTGTTGGAGGAAAGTTCTGAGAGTGCCTTGGACTGCGAGAAGATCCAACCAGTCCATCCTCCAAGAAATAAAGCCCGACTGCTCACTGGAGGGAAAGATACTAGAGACAAAGTTGAAGTACTTTGGCCACATCATGAGGAGACAGGAAAGCCTAGAGAAGACAATTATGCTGGGGAAAGTGGAAGGCAAAAGGAAGATGTGCCGACCAAGGGCAAGATGGATGGATGGCATCCTTGAAGTGACTGGACTGACTTTGAGGGAGCTGGGGGTGGTGACGGCCGACAGGGAGCTCTGGCGTGGGCTGGTCCATGAGGTCACGAAGAGTCGGAGACGACTGAACGAATGAACAACAACAACAAAGACCTAGTTAAAATACAGACATTATAAGAATTTAAATCTAATCCTTCCCTCTGTGCCTTCCCTTGTTAGTGATTTCAGTGAGCATCATGGAAGTTTTCTCATTTGGCCACATTGGGCTACAGTGGAATTTTCTGAGGAAAACCTCCACATTTGGAAGCAATGAAAGGATTTCAAGAAAGGAAACTCCCACATTTGGTAGCAGCATGGTGGGATGAGGTGAAAAGGCCTACAATCCCACCTTGAGCTCCTATAAAGAGAGGGAAATCCTTTGGTTATACTGTAGAGTTTCAACATAAATAGGATAGCAGAACATTGGATAAGCAAAAATGCTGGATAATATGGAGGGATTAAGGAAAAACCTATACAGTAATATAGATGCCATTTGGGAGGGAGAGAGCAGGGCTCTGCACTCTCCCTTCCTTCTGGGGCCTCCCCTTCCTGCCTCCTTGGGGCTCTGGCTCCCTCCCTTGCTTCCTCACTGGGATGGGTCCCGGTGATAAAGGCAGCAGTGGCAGCGATGGCTGAGCCTGGCATCTGTTGGGAGGGGCAGGGTGCAGCTGGCACAAGCCAGACATGTGCGCCCGGAGGACCTGCTGTGCACGGCTTTTGTGCCGCAGTGTCTTGCCACCGGGAGCCAATTTGTGTGTGCTTTTTTTTTGGGGGGGGGGGGTTAAGAGCATCTGATAATACAGTTGGATGAGCGAAGGTTGGATAACCGAAATGGGGGGAGTTGGAAGTTCCAGGAACAATGGGTTGAATGTAGCCAGTATATATCTTGAGAGACATTACTGTACACATTATTGTAAGACTATACTGTGAGACTTTATACCATCTTAGATAACTAGTCCCTCTTACAAATGATTGTTTACTTTGGCTGGCAGTAGTTGCTTTTCATATTTTGGGAGGCAGTTTTCCCATCAGTTTCTAACCAATCCTTTAAACTGTAGATGGTGGAAATTGAAATGCAGCATTCTGCATGGAAAACAAAAATTTTATCATCAGAACTTGAAAAAAAGGTTTTTGAATTGGCCATGCTGGTAGACAGATTCTGGGAATTGTAGACCAAAGAAATATAGGAACATTTTTAAATTCTACCTATTTCTGAGCTTTCCGGGGAGCTCTCTATTCCCTGTTTTCTACAAAGCAGGACCCATTACCTTGGGCAAAGATGCTCGGGAACCAGAGCTTTGTGTGGTCATAGTGAGCACAGTAGTGATGCCCAGGCCAACTCGGGCAGGTGCAGCATCCATGTTGATCCAGAAGGAGATCCAGGACAGAATTACAATCAGCAAGCTGGGGATGTACATCTGGATCAGGTAGTATCCCATCTGTCGCTCCAGGTGGAAACGGGCTTCTATACAGGTGAACATGCCTAGGAATTAAGAAAAAGTTAGTTTAAAGGGGAACCTGTTAGGAGCAAATAGAATTCCTGGTGGAATGAAGGACTTAAAAAATGTCCACTGCCATTTCCTGCTTTTTACAGGAACATTCTTCATACACTTTGTGTGAAGGGCAAAGATGTATATCACCACTAAATGGAAATGTGACCAATACAGCTGAGAAGAGAAAAAGAACACCAAGGAGCAGTAATACTATGTATTTCATTTTACCTTCTCTTCCTAACTATTTGATGTGTTGTAGTAATATAACTAGCATGTGTGTGCATTAACTTCAAGTCACCTGTTGACTTATGGTGACCCCATGATTAGGAAAGAAACACACAGGTTTGCTAGTTCCTTTCCCAAAAATATAACCTGCAGCATCTCCTATCCAAAGTACTAGCCAGAACTGACCCTGCATAGTTTACAAGTTCAAATGGGATCTGGTGACTTTTAGGATACTATCATTTTCATGGCTTATGAAACAGAATGAGTTGTTTCTGTTTACCACTAGAGATAAACATTCAATAACTAGTATTGTCATAGGTTCATAGAATTATAGGCCATGGGTCACCTAATGCAACTCCATGATCAATGCAGCAGCCTTTTTCTAAAGACATCCACAGAAGAAGACCACATCATTTCTCTAGGCAATTTATTCCATTGCTGAACCACTCGCACTGTCAAGAAGTTAATATAAATGTTCAATCGAAATTAATGTTATTGTAACCGCAAACCATTTGACTTGGCTCTACTCTGTGGAGCAGAAGAGAGCAGACCTGCCTGCTCCTTTGTGACAACCCTTGAGGTATTTAAAAAGTCTCACTTCTCAGTCATCCCAATCAAAATATATTATAAGAACTTTACAAAATAAATGGCAGAAAGAAAGTCTATTCACAAACAACAGAGGAACTAATTAAAGGAGTTAAGAAAATGAAAATGGAGAAGTATAAAGAATTAGAAAGAATACTTATTTGGAAAGCCCAAATATCAAATATGGGAATGGGAATAAGCTCAACATGCTGACATTGTGGAACAAATAAAGGGTGGTATACCCACATGGGGTGGGAATGCCCAAAGACAATAATTTTATTTATTGATTGATTTCTCGTATTTCTATCCTGTCCTTCTCAACCCTCAAAGGGGAAAGACAGTAAATAAAATCGAGAAATGATTTAAAATACCAATTCAAGTTAATATGTGCCTTATTGGGAACAATAAGATTAATGTAAAAAACCCCAAACCAACCCAAGTTTATTTAGCAGGCAAGGCGGGAATAGCATGGGGAGGGAAAGATGAAAAAAAAAATGGAATAAGGAAAACCGGAATAATCTGTTTGATCAAGTCCAATCAGACGTTATAGAACGTACAACTTGAGATGATATGCAGGGGAACAAAACAGAAGAAATTTAAGACAAATGGTATCTACATGGAATTGATAAAAAATGATGAAGGACAAACACAAATATTATACAATGACTAATAAAATTGTGATCATGGTTAAAGATACAGATATAGAGGAAAATGTGGTAGGGATATGGGGTAGAGGTGGGGAGCGGGAAAAAAGAAAGAAAAAGTAAAAATAATAATAACTTTGTAAAAGAGATGAATAGATAATACAGAAATGTTCTATGACATATAATGTGTTTATGCAATAGCTGTCGATTACCTATTCGCAGATTGTGTTATTATGTACTCAATAAAAATACGTACTTAAAAAAAACAACTCCTCAGTCATCTCTTCACCAGGTGAACCTTTTATTATTTCTAAGGACAAATGCTTGCCATGTGTCTTTCATTACTGACCTGTATTGTATTCTTTAGTACAGTCACGCAAATCTTTCTCTTCTTTCAGAATGAACTGAGGCAAAGTTAACCCTTCAGCAATCTGCACGGCATTAGCTTTTTGCCATTTAAATATCAGATCATTCATTGTGTATCCAACTGTGGAGAGACCCAGAAAACAGACAAAACATTTGAAGATCAAGTGAGACTTTCGGTAAATTTCAATAACTGGTTTACATGGTAAAGACTAGCACCCATTAGGAGATAGCTTTTGTTTAATAGCAGCAGGAAGCTGGGATTGACAATCCATAAAATGAATGTTGTTCCAGTACAGAGAGCTTGTAGTCTGCCCAAGATTTTGAGAGAAACATGACCAAAATGTTTTCTCCTCCACAGATGTAAGATGCCACGGGATGGGCTGTCAAGACATCTGCATTTCCTGGTCACCATAACTGGAAGTCAGTGATATGGAGCAGGGAAGGGAAAATATGTCAGATCATGATCTAAGTTCTTTCAAACAGTGAAGGATATGAATAACCAAATGCATGCCAACAATTTAGAGGCAAAACCACATTTACAACATTGTCCCCTTTGACCTTTAAATGGATGAGACAGGAATGAAATACAGAGGATGAGAGCTGATGATTTAGAGGAAATTACATCCCACATTCTTCACTGGAAAAGGGATTCCGCCCCTTCCCCCATAATTTCACAGTAGTCTCTAAGGACTATCTGAGCTAAATTTAAGCTGGACTGCTTGAACAACTGTCAGTGAGTGTGATCAGAGAAGCATGAAAAGTTGCACATGACACACAGTCTGTCCCGATGCTTCATCTCTCCCTACTGTCCCCAAGTTTCTCTTTCATAATTGGAGGATTTGGCAAAGAGCTGAACAGATGATGTGGCCTGTGCATATCTACAGAATGGAAGCTATTTTTATACTTGGAAGCCTTCCGGACTCACAGCTTTCCAATTGCATGATACATGTCTGGACATCCATGGGGAAGTTCTTCAGATCCATAGGGCAAGCCAGTGTCAAGGTAATCCTGTGAAATGAAACAAATCAGTGAAACAATTGTGGCATTTCTAGCAAACATGACAACTATGTTATATTCAAACCATGAGGATGTTTGCAATTCATGGATATATGTTCAGCCTTGGTCCTATAGACAGAGGAGGGAGACATAAAAGGTATAACTCCTGCTCGAAGTACACTATGACCCCCTTATCCATATATTCAATATCTACAGTTTCACTTGCCCACACTCCAAAAAATAACTTGCACCTCAAAATTGTTTTTGAGTCTCTCTAGATCCTTCAGTTCAATTCTATGGTATGCTTCTAGCCCAAGAATAGTCAAAATATAGGCTTCCCTTTATCAACAATTTCAGTTATACATGCGTGTGTGTGTGTGTGTCTTGGAATGTATCTGCTGCAGATATGGTGTTCATATTGTAGACTATTTTCCCAATATCATCATTACCATCATCACCATTTTACTGCTGTTCTTTTTTTTGTTTTTGTTCTATTATAACATACACAATTATAATTTGGAGCACACCATTTAAGAAGCAGTGCTTTAGGGAACATTTAAAACTTTGGAGGTATGATAAAACGTTGACATCCTCCAGGAGTTTGATGTGATAGAATCAGCAAGAGGAGCATCACATGAAGCAGCCGATCAGGTATGGTGGACTCTCAGGTATCAGACAATGAGGAAAATGTGTCCAAGACTGAAAATATTAGAATGTGCACTTCATCCCATAAAATATAGGCATGGCTTCAGAAAAACCTAGTGTTTCTTGTATTGTCAAAGACTTTTATGGCTGGAATCACTGGGTTGCTGTAAGTTTTTTAGGCTGTATGGCCATATTCCAGAAGCATTCTCTCCTGACGTTTCACCTGCATCTATGGCAGGCATCCTCAGATTTATGAGGTCTGTTGGAAACTAGGAAAATTGGGTTTATTTATCTGTGGAATGTCCAGGGTAGCAGAAATAACTCTTGTCTGTTGGAGGTAGGTGTGAATGTTTCAATTAGCCACCTTGATTAGCATTTAATGATTTAATGACCTAGCAGTTTTCAAGGTGTGGCTTCTTATGCCTGGGTGAAAGACAAGAGTTCTTTCTCCCACCCTGGACATTCCACAGATATAAAAACCCAATGTTCCTAGTTTCAAACAGACCTCACAACCTCTGAGGATGCCTGTCATAAATGCAGTGAAATGGCAGGAGAGAATGTTTCTGGAACATGGCCAGGCAGCCTAAAAAACTTACAGCAACCCAATGTTTCTTGATTTGCACAAGGCACAGAGAACAAGATTCATGGTTAGTTTAACGGCAGATGGGCAAGGCTGGTTTATCAATGGTGCAAATATATACTCTACAATATTTCTCAGAGGAAAACTGAAACAAATATACAAGATTATACAATACCTCCCTCCTAAGCTGGGTTCATTGAGAATAAAATATTTTTACACTTTGAACTCAGTTTGCATTAATGGAAGCAACAAAGTACAAAGAGGGGACAATTAGTGGAAAAAAGAGAGAGAAACTGGGACATTTAAAATGCATCTAAAAGTGGAATGATGGAAGATCAATGAGGACTGAATAAATGTTTCTGGTAAGGTGGGGATGGGGGTGGGTGGGTGGTTGTAGTACTATCTCTAGCAACCCTTCACAAAGGCTGGTAGCATTTATCACCCAGTTTAGTTCTGTTTTCCAATTATAGAGCAAATGAAGAAGTGGGTGCAGAAGTTGGATTAACTTTGGTTATATCAGCAGGGGCATACTCAGGGGTGGGGAAGGGGGATAACCAGAGCCCAGTCCTTTGGGTCTGAAAGAGATTAGCTCTTGTCAGACAAAGGGCAACATTGCGAAACCTGATCCACCACAGAATGAAGCTGACACTCCAATCCAAGTGGGGAGTTCTTGGAATTGCTTTAGGGCACCTAACCTGACCACTTGCAGTTTGTTCATATCCCACAATTGACTTGTTAAAGCAGAAAAACATACATCTAGATTAACAGAACCATGAGTGCGAACTACTGACATCAATCCCTGTTTTCCTTACCTCAACCTACATGAGTATTGCCTCTCAGTAGACTTTTCAAACAGCATAAGAAAACATGTTTCTCACCTCTTAAAGCAGAACAATGAATGGTAGGTCACCTTTGGTGGCAGTTGTTTTATTATGTACCTATTGTTACCTGGAAAGCATTTCAAACAGCTGTGTGAATTAAAGCTTTAAGTTCCCCAGGCCCTGGGCTACGTGCTTTGGTTACTGCTTGGCTGTCTGATGTCTGCTGTTTGAACTGAAGCCACCTCTGGTTTTTCTTTTTGTCTGCATTATATTTCTCGCTATTTGTTTTGTTCCTCAGAAACCAGCATGGCACCTGCGACATGAGCCAGGTGTCCCAGTGGGATGTGCCTCTGTGCATTTTGGGATTGCACTGCCAGGCATCAGTGAGCCAGAATGTGCAAACATAAGTGAGTTCACACAAAGGTAGCTTTTAGGATTGCGTGTGAGTGTGTTTTACTCTTTGTCATTAGCCTACACTTAACAAGAAAATGGCATGTTCTTAGTTTCATTCTTTTACAGAGGTGTTAAGAAGGCAGATTTGGGGGTAGCCAAAGTGGATGATTTCCAGATGAAAACATGTTCAGTTATTCTATCTTGCATAAAAATTAATCAGAAATCCAATGGCCCAAAAGTTACTGTGCTGAGAAATAGCAGAGAAACAGCCAGATTCGTCTGATTTTCAGTGTGTGCTTTTCCCTCCCTTGTTCAAAAATAAATAAATAATTCCATTCTCCTGAAAACAAAGTGATCTAGATTATCTTTCAGACTTTAATATCCCAGTACAGAGAAGATTCCTTTATACATTCTCAACCTGTGTCACACTTTCAAAGTGCTAGTTTTGAAGTCTTGGATCTGCCTTTTCCCTTATTCTGCTCTAGTTTTCCCTGTTTATAGGTTTTTCCAATAGTGTATATACCTTCCTTTCTATTAGTTTTTGGGTGGAGCATAAAAAACCCCTAGATGCTAGCCTTAGTAGGTCTATTTCATTTGCCTGTACAGAGCTCTCTTGCTAGACTCCTTTCTGTGCAGCATAGCTACAGCGAACAGAGACTTGGGCATTGTCTGATAATCCTAGGCCCAAGCAATAAAAGAAAAACAGGCATCTTTAGCACCTGCATTCAACAGTATTCTTATACCAGCAGTCCCAGAGACAACAGAAGCTTTTGACCAGCTTAAGCTTCACAAGAAAGAAGATTGAGACAGCTTATAAGCAACAGCTTGTAAGCCATCGCTTTGCACCACAGGTAGAAGACTCTAGAGAGAGGATTGCAGCCAGCACAATCTCCTTTTGTAATGTATTGTTTTAAGTTGTCTTATAATAGTCCTGGGTGTGGTTAACCCTTTATTCATAATGTTTTCAGTAAACTCATTTGGTTATCTTTTCACCTTGCCTAAAGTGCCCCTGTGTGTTAAGGGTCTGAATTGTAACAGAGGTATACAGACAGCCCCTGAGTAAAGCCAGACACTATCGTTTTCCCCAAAGGCTTGGGCGTGCTATCACACTAGTGTTGGATAGGATGGAGTGGGTTTAGTCTTATCCTCTTTTTTCTGTAATCACTCTGACATTATGCAAATTTACAAAGCAATAATGAATATTTAGAATTTCAGAACAATTTAGGCACAATATGCACTAAGTGATCTTGAATGTTGAACCTGATATACGTTTATCTAGCAGTTCTCTCCTATGACTCTCAAGGGAGTCAGGGTTCATAGAATCATAGAATAATAGAGTTGGAAGAGACCCCAAAGGCCATCTAGTCCAACTCCTTGCCATGCAGGTTCAAATCTCTGCTCAACCATGGAAAACCCGACCACCTGATAACCTGCTGCAGTTCCACAAACACTTTTCACCCTCAGAAGAAAAGGACATGAGAAAAATCACTGTTGCTGACAAAACCTTTGTTTCCAAGAAAGATTCCCTCATGATAGCTTTTTTTTTTTTGGGCCTTTAAGGCCTGTCCCCAACAAAATCCCCTAGAAATTAATTTTGAAACACCAAAAAACCTTCACAATGTTTTGAGAAAATTGAAATATGAGGGATTGATTTACTCCCATAGCATGGAGAAAATTACTAATTTTTTTTTTCAAATGCATAAAGAACTCCATTGGGTGGGCCTCTGCCAAAATGTTTTTTTTTTTTTTGAATGTAAATCTGGGTTTTAATTTTTTAAGGAAGGTAATTACATGTGTTTTCATCACATACAGTGCAAAATCCCTCCCTTTCTTCCCATTTTTCTTGGACAAATTAACCTATTTTTTTTAAAATTATTGTACAATGGGTAAAGTCCAGCAGCAATAAATCCCAGCCTTGGTACCTAGGCCTTTTTGACTCCCAATGCAGGGTCCCCCCCCCCCCCCCTTGATTCCACACCTTCCACTATAATGAGTCTATAAACAATAGAAACTGAAATAAAATTCCATGCCTGAGGAAAACACATAAAGTATTTGGATCTTTCCCTGTTTTTTTTTTGTTTTTTGTTTTTGTTGTTCATAGTCTTTTCAGTCCCCCCACCGTCCCCCCTCCGACCTTCTTCGGAACCTTCCAATTGACCCCCACACCCACGCCAGGAACTTTTTCCCCTGTCAGCCGTTTACCACCCCCAGCCTCCTCAGGTCAGTTCAAGTCCCCACTCCCCAAGGATGCCCATCCCCATGCCATCTTTGCCCTTGTTTCGGCCCCCCTCTTTTTCCTTTTTGCCTTTCCAACCCTTTCCCCCAAGCAATAAATTTTTTGTCCTTTTTCTCCTAGCTTTCCGGTCCCCCCCTCCTCATGATTGTTGGCCAAAGGTAAAATTTCCAACTTTGTCACACTTCCTAGTAAATCTTTTTCCCTCCATCGCCGTTCGCTCCTTTTATTTCCCTGGAGGGGACCCCGGGTTTTGGATCTTTCTTTCTCAGCAGTCCCAAGGGCACTCTCAGAACTTTTTTTTCCTCGCCCCAAACACCACAGCTTTCAAAAGAAATCT